AGAGCAGACTTTGCTTTTCCCCCCCCCCCCATAGCTAGCAATCCAAAACAGTCCAGTAGCACCTTTAAGACCAAGTTTTATTCAGGCACAAGCTCTCTCTCCTCTGTGAGGACAGATCTGCATGTTTCCCCCCCCCACCCCCCATAGCTAGCAATCCAAAACAGTCCAGTGGCACCTTTAAGACCAAGTTTTATTCAGGTATAAGCTCTCCCTCCTCTGCGAGGACAGATCTGCACGTTCAGTCCAGTGGAGCCTGAGCGGTGGGTGTTGCCTTCTGACACACTTCCGGTGATGTTGGGGGTGTGGTATATGCAAATAAGTTATGCTAATAAGTTATGCCAATGAGCTCCTGCACCTCTTTTTCTACTAAATGACCCCTAGTTATTTGGAAACCTGCTAGGTGTCGGCTGTACTTATACGTGAGGTAAGCAGAGACCCCTGTTTCTTAGATTTTCGACTTGGCAGACAGAACACAAGATGGAGAGGAACAACAAAGGTTTATTTAACAGAAAGTTAAAGTTTTTACTATGAATATGATGTGTGGTTAGCTTAAATGTATAAAGTAAAGCTGGCTCTCAAATAAAGTTGAATAATCCCTGAGGGGAGATTTGATTCCCCTTTCTTTGGACAGGGTACCTCAGCAGGTTCAAGGCCGCTCTACTCTCTCACAGAGCACCTTTCCGCAGAGCATACAAACACCAGTTGGGAATGACGGGCCCGTAACAGGATGCTTATTTGTCACACAATGATAAGCTTTCTTCCCCAAGCCCTAACTAAGAAGCCAAGTAAAAGCCACTGGCTAAACTGACGCTCCTTTCCAGAGCCACAAAATCCGTATCCAAAAGTTTTCTTAAAAAAGGTTTCTTTGACCTTTTTAAGCTGAGGCTGGCTCAAACCAACATAAAATCTTAATTTAAATTGGTGGGAAAGAATCAAGTTATGCTAAAGACAAGCAAATAGGGTTTTATTCAAACATAACAGAAATTGATAAAATACTGTTATATACTGATGAGAAATTGATTAAGAAATTATATGTAATAATGTTAGAAAATAAAACACAAGATGAAATAGTTAAAAACTGTGGTCCAATGGGCACAAAATTTGGGTCATAATGTTGATTTAGATCAATGGTCACAGGTATGGAAAAAATATAAAGTTTACTAAAGCAACTACTTATAAAGAAAATATTTACTCCAGATAAATTAGCAAAATTTTATCCTGACCAGTGTTCCCTCTAAGCTGAGTTAGTGTGAGATAGCTAATAGTTTTTTCGCCTCAAGCTCACACATTTTTGTCTTAGCTCAGGACGGATGGCTCCAGAGCAAACTAATTGGTGCAGTAGCCAAATCGCTCGCTCACAACTTTAATGCCAGGAGCTCACAAAGTAGAATTTTTGCTCACAGGACTCTACAGCTTAGAGGGAGCATTGATCCTGACCTACCGAATGATTGTTGGAAGTGCCATAAAAATGTTTGTTCCTTTTTTCATATGTAGTGGATGTGTGATAGAGTTAAAAAATATTGGTCTTGGATTCATGAATTGTTACAAAAATTGTTAAAATGTACTATGCCCTATATACCAGAATTGTTCTTATTGAATATATTACCAGAAAATTGTAAAAAGCAAGATGCTTATCTTATTATACATGTAGTGACAGCTGCAAGAATATTATATGCCAAATATTGGAGGAAGAATGAAGTATCTTCGAAAGAAGAAATCTTAAATAAAATATTTGAAACTGCAGAGACAGACAAATTAACTTTAATTCTGAGAGGACTAAACGAACAAAAATTTGAGAATACATGGTCAAGGTTTTATAAATGGATGAGAAAATACAATAAATAAACCATATGAACATACAACCAAATCAGAAGAAAATATTAATTATATTTTTAGCTACGAGCAAAGTTTTATTCAAATTTACTTGGTGGGAAAGAATAAAGAAGCAAAACATATAATTAGATATTGTATGAGGTAACTTAACAGGAAAAATAACGTGTTAAATGTAATCCCCAATTTATATGTATGTATGTTTTTGTTCTTTGTTGGTCTTGTACAAAAAATTAAAAAAAAATTTTTTTTAAGAAGAGGCTCAGCCCCCTCCCATCCAGTTCCATGGGCTCTGATTGGCTGACAGTCACTTGGATCCTCCCATCCAGTTCCATGGGCTCTGATTGGCTGACAGTCACTTGGATTTGCATGAGGCCTAAATCACAAGGACTGGCGACTGGAGGAGAGGCGGGACTGCCTGGGCTGGTAAATAAGGACCTGAATCGACCCATTTGGTCTTTGTGGTCATTTGCTGTAATTATTACTTTTATGGGCACGGGGAATATGCACACACTGGCCTGGCTGCCTGGGCTGGTAAATAAGGACCTGAATTGACCCATTTTGTCTTTGTGGTAATTTGCTGTAATTATTTTATGGGCACAGGGAATGTGCAAACACAGACTAAATTTCCTAATCCAGACTAAATTTCCTAATACCAGAAAGCAAATCCTCTGCCTGCCCCTTCCCACTGCAGCCCACCCGATCTCTATGAAAGGCTACTCCCAGAGGGACTCTGGGGACCCTGCAGAATGGCACGGGGTGGGGGGGAGGCCTGCAGCCGGAAGGGGGAATCAGGAGAAACTGCCAATTTAGCCTGGGTCCAGCACAATGGGCCCCCCTCCGTCCAACAGGAACATGAAGCAAGATCTTCCCCACAAACACAGCTTTGAGAAATGCTGTTTCATTGGCAAAACGTTTATGAAGATTTGAGTTGCCAGACTACCGCCCAGTCTCCACATTTCCCCCATTCCAGTTCCACAGCTGATTGTATTTACGTGGCCATTTCTGTTCACGCTAAACCTTCTGTGATCCCGCTGCTGCAGTTTAATACTTCCTGGAGGAAAGAAAATGAATGAATGCACATGCAATGCTGGATGCTTGAGGCAAACAGCAAAAAAATGTTGTGGTTATATCTCTTATTCCTTTGCAATCGACAACGGAATATAGAGAAGACTGTCCGTGGAAAAGGCATTTTGCTCATTTCTGCTTAGGAAGACGAACTCTGAAACTTTTAACTATCTGTACTCTCCCTTTAATGGTAGTTTCCTGGCTTGGAGGTATCCATCAGTAATTTGGAGCCAGATCGTACTTTATTTTGATTGTACAGCTTGCAGGGGTGCAAGTGAGCACGTGAGTCCTTGTGTAAAAAAGAAGCACAGAGCATGTATTTAATAAATACACAAGTTCCTTGCACTTCTGCTTTGCCGCAATTAAATGAACATTTGAAGTGAGCTTTTCACTGCATGTTAATTCTGCAAGTCTTTTGAATAATGGTAGTTCATCTGCTCCCTTGCCATTAAATCAAAACGTACAACCCACCTTCAATTCCAATTCAATTGCCAATGGGTGAAGGATTCATGAACTTCCAGTGAAAGCAACAACAGTTTTATCATCAAATTAGGGTTGAAGTTGCCAGGTTGGAATCTTTATTTCCCTGCTTATTCATAAAATTGGGCGCAGGCTTAGCAGCCCTTCTAACAGCACTGGTTTCTTTCACTGCAGGCCTTTGGAACTGGCCATAGTGCACTTTTTGAATTCATAGGAAGAAAACTCTGTTAATACCTGGCAGCACAAATGCCATAATTACAAATAGGTTTCTGCTGTGCATAGGTTTGATCCCAATTTCCACTAAGGGAAGGCACTTCTGTCAACAGAGTGGAATTTCCTGTGTTCCATCTCTTGCTGCAGCCCACTGATCATTCTGAAATGGTGGTTGTGGGGGGGACAGGACCTTTGGGAACAGAATAAGGGGCAGATCGAGGATCTACTACAGCAGGAAGGAATCATTACAAATTGCCCTGTTGCCACAAAATGCAATGGAGAGCCAACCCACTGTCTGTTGCCTTGCTAGCCAAATCTCTTGCTGCAGAAGTACCATCTCCTCCTCATCTGTAGACAGAAGCACTTCTCCCCGTGCTCCAGAATTCCCTGCCAACCTCTTTCTGCACAGCTCCGTAGTCTGCGAAGCCTTCACAGCACCAACGCTATCGATAGCACTAAGTCAATAATGGGAATTAAGCAATATTCAATCTGCGATCTCCCAGCCTTGCCCCCCTACTGCCGATCCCCCCCCCCACAAATAGGCATTGCATCACCCTAGCCAAATTGATTAGGTCAAAATAGAGTCCTTAATTAATGAGAAGTCAGGGCTTGTCAACATGAAATCCATTAAAGACCAGTTCAGTTTTAATTTCAGTCAGGCACCGTTTGGCAGTCTCTGTGGATTCATTAGCGTTTGGTGATCTATAGCCTCTTTCTGTCTCACTTCCCTCAACCCACCCCCAATTCTGGGTTTTTCACCTCCAGTAAATATTGGCATTTTAGACCTCGAGATGAAAAATGGTCGACTCTTTGGGTTAAGGGCCAGATTAAGCTGATGTGCAAGAGGCGACTCTGTTGCCGCTGGTGGAGCCGAGCCTGGAGTTGCTTTTGGCTCCTGATGTTCCTTCATCCCCAGCATCTTAAACTGGAGAAAGACGGCAGGGAGTCTTACAGCTCATTGCCAGATCCTTGAGACGCATTCGAGAGGAAATGGCTGAGGCTCTCTGACTGAGGCTTTAGGCACCCGCTGGATCCGATAGATGCCCAGGCCCCATGGAAAAGAGTGCCCCAGGACCAGGGGTCATTTCGTAGAAAAAGAGGTGCAGGAGCTGATTAGCACAACTCATTAGCATAACTCATTTGCATATACCACACCCCCTGACATCACCGGAAGTGTGTCAGAAGACAACACCCACCGCTCAGGCTCCACTGGACTGT